GTGAATAATTTCTCAAAATCAAATTGGCCAAAGTCCTCTGCGTTAGCTGACATGACTGTTAAATCAGTTTTATGAACCTATTAGGCAGCGTGTTGGGTCAGATTTGGACAATAAATCCCTCCAGCTTTATTAATGATTATTGATGTTTTCTTTAACAAACTGAAAGGAGGGCATTATTTAATAGTCCGAGTGTAGAAAAGATTCAGAAAAAAAAAACAAAACTCCATGATCAATCAACGACAACCAAGAGTCCAGCTAGGTTCTCAGTCATCACGGTGATTTTCAGTTCACGAAAACTCAACCCTCGTACAGCAAAAAACACAGATACTCCAAGAAGTACACAGCCCCATGCACGGCAACCAAAATGTACAGGTGGAAGCTAGAGTAATGGAGAAAGTACGGTGACATATACAGTGTCTGAGTCAGACACAACCAAATGTGACCTCTGTAGGGGGAGCAGTGTGTGGGGACTCAAACCTGAAACCTTCCGGTGACAGAAACAAACCACTGCCCCAGGGCAGGTCAGGGCGTGGTCACCTCCTCGTGGTCACCTTGATTTTCTATAACGACTCTTTCTTTCAGCCACTCTGAGATCCTCTGCCGTTGCCCTCTGCCTCTCCTGCTCGGGGAAGAAGTGAAAATAAAAGTCACAGACACTTTGTTTGGTCAATGTTAAAATGAAGCACAGTTTTTAACAGCTCCCCCGGTGTTTGAAACGTTAACATTCTACACACTTGACAAAACGAGCCAATCCGTTTCCATCAGCACATACTTACATTTATTCATTTTCATGGATTCCGTCTATACAGTTCTACATAAACAGTGGGAATGTGATAAAAACATTGAGTAACTGCAGTACTGGATGATTTCCGATGGTTTTTGGCAGTGAAATAATAAAACGACACTTGACCTTTTTAGTCACACCATAAAAGAAGCTTCTCTCAGGAGCAGGACCTGTGGTTGTTTTTTTTGTTTGTATGTTTGTGCGTTTTTGCTTCTTTTCTTTTTTTTGGTTCTGCTACATCTGATGCCATTCTTTTTCAGATGTGGTAAAGGTTCATTTCTGGCTGAAACAGTGAGTTCATCGACAGCGTTTGTCGATTCAGAGCCTCCAACAGGCGACACTTTCCTACCTTGTGCAGACTTTACCACAAAAGGTGACACTTGTGCATTTCTATGCTGAAACACTGTACACAAAGCAACAAAAGACGACACAGAAGTCAAAAGTAAAACAACAAAACAAATTGGTGCTGGCCTCTCAAGACATTAACTGTGACGTTTACGTTTCTGAAAACAAAGGCAGTGATCCTACAGGTCTCTCCTGTTCTCTGGTTTTAATCCCATCTCTCAGGCCTCAAATCCTTTTCTGACGTAGAAGGTAACAGAGTAAGATTCCAGAGTGGAACCCAGAAAACTTGAATAGCAGAGCACTGAATGAAATTCAAATCCTTTAAGGCCACGCAGGTCAACATTCGGAGGCAGCCACGTCTCGCTGCTCCGCATCACTTCATCTCATGGTCTGAGTCAGCGCCTCCTCATCCTGGAAATACGGATGTTCCAGCGCATTCAGGGAAGATATTCGTTTAGAGGGGTCGAAGGTCAGCATGCTCTGTGACAGAAACAAACATAACAGGTTTACACTGAGCCACTGACAAGGTTCCAGAAATACTCTCCTGAAACCTCCTGGACAGAACAGACAGCTGAGAACACGAGTCTTTTTTAAAAGATTTTTCAAAGCACTTTTTAGCAAAGAATCTTGAAACATCACAGCTACATTTAGATGGTGATATCATCTTATTATGAAAAGAAATGCAAACTTATTTAGCAAAACTAGGGGCTTTAAAATTATGTACATATTTAAACACGGTTGTCTGCATCATTCCTATAAAGTAGTGAACTCGTGAATAACAGAAAATTATATTTTTTTTGTTTGGAGTCTGCAATACAAAAACAACCAAACAAAAGACTGAGCAGATTCTTTACACATTTAAATATGTTTAAATAACCCTGATTGAGTCAATTTAGCAAAATATGTCCGCTCTAAAAGGCGTATTAATTTTGTGTTATTCTTTTGTCGCCGACAGTGGAGAAAAAAGATAGCTTCAGAAACGCCGTCGTTTTCTTTTATCCACCTGCAGCACCTGGGGTTGTTTCACACAACAGAGAAGAAGACAGCTCCGTCCAAGGCTAATAACAACCCACTACCAACGGCATTTAAATGTGAATTAATTTTATAATTTGTTTATTTAAACTTTAAAAAAATGTGCCAGACTAATTTTTACTGAAGCAGTTGCCAGGCAACCAGCAGAAACCCAGGCAGTTAGTTTATGAAATATTATAAAACATGAAGCACAGAAAAACAGCTAACATAACTCCTCGGTTATATGTGGTGATAAAAATGTATTTAGCTTTTGCCCTAGTTATCCTGATGTAGAGGCTTTGTTTTGCACCTGCAAAATAATGTATTTAATGTCAATAAGAGGAGACCTTTGGAATGAGGTCATCAAGTGACATTATTTAGTGCAACACACTTCACACATCAGTGAGATCGATCAGTGAAACACTATCAGTAACTGTATTCCTTTAAGGTCAGACGTTCATGGAATGAACAAACCAAGATTAAAACCATATCTTACCAACAGTAGCTGTGCCCCCTTCTCACTAATGCCTGAAACAAACTCTTTGATTGGTCGAGGTGTGAGTAGGGGGAAGTTCTTCCTCGACAGTGTGACACTCGGCCACTCGTCCTCAGGCGGCAGGCCGATGAGTCTGATGTGAACAGATTATTATTATTAAAAGAAAAGTGAGAATCAAATAGTTAAATATCACCTGGGTAAACAAAGGTAAAAGTACAAGTTACTCACTCAAAGATTTTCCCCAGCTGGTCGACTTCTGACTCTCCACAGAACAACGGTCTAATCAAACAGAACAGTTATTTTAAACATTAATATCTGTTACATCGACTGATCAATCACCGTGCAGTTTGTCGTCTCGCCAGTAGATGGAGCTAATGCGTTTTAGCAATTCACAGCAGGCTCAAGCAAAAACTGTGTATCTTCAGTTTAAATTTACTGATTGAGTTTTTTTAACCAGATAATACCATTGACATACAAAAGAGACGTGAATTTTCACAGCAGGAAGTTTACTTCAACATTAAAACAGGATTAACTCAAACACTGTAGTATAAATGACCAGTTCAATGACATTTTCAACTTGAGTAAAAACTTAAAATTGTGATTAGTTGCTGTTTTTTTGTTAACAGATTAACTTTATATTTTATGCTCTAAAAAAGAAGAGATTAAGTTAAAGATAATATTTTACAGTCATAGATATTCTGGTTAAAACAAAATTCAAAAAGTGAACTAAAGTTAACTATTTTATTATTTCTTTCAAATATTTGTTACTTCTGTCACCACTTTCACACTTCAAGTGTGTTGTATTTTTATCTGTTTGTGTCAGTTCTGTTCCTGAATCTAAACAGTGACACACACATGAAGATCTGACCCCATTAAACCTGACTCACTTGCGTCGGAACATCTCAGCAAAGATGCATCCTGTGCTCCAGATATCAACTGGCGTAGCATAACTGGACTGAAGCAGAACCTCTGGAGGACGGTACCACAGTGTCACCACCTGAGGTGTGGAGAGCAAAACAAAAGTCCAGAATGGAACCTGATCTCTATGTATTTGTCTCTTCATTCGACAACAATTGACTAAAGTTTCTGAACAACGTTTTTAATGGTTTTGCAGCTTCTGCCTACTTGAAATAAAAATGCACATTGAATCTTTTTACCACAGGAGTGAGAGCCATGTGGCAGCTGAAGATCCTGGCCAGTCCAAAGTCAGCCAGCTTCACCTGGCCCTGACTGGTGACTAGAATATTCTCTGGTTTCAGGTCTCTGTGCATCACACGATTGGAGTGAAGGAAAGCCAGACCACACAGCAACTGTCTCATCAAGTCCTGAAGAACACAGAAAGACAGAGGAGAGAGTAAGTCAAAATGTTCTGATTTGAGTAACATTTTATTTAAATTAGCTTCGCTTTCCCCCCCCCAAAAAAATAATGTTTTTTTAACATCACAAAAACTACACATCATGAAATATAATGACCTAGTTTCTATTCACCCAAAATTGACTGAGTAAGTGTTAAACTGGGGCATGTGTGGTTGAACACAACACTGGTATACTCAAAGGAATTGAAGAAAGATACACAATCATCTTCTTAAAACAGTTCTGAGTCTGTTGACAACACTGGTTTGAAGTCATCTGCTGCTCCCTCGTGGGAGAGTATTTAATTGTTTTCTCCATGACATAAACAAACAAAAAGTTGTTACAGTAAATCAATAATCGTTTTCAGACCAATGTGAATTTGAATGACTTTCCACCACAGCACTCACAATGGTTTAGACCAAATGTCCTTTACTGTTTATTTATTCAAACTTAAGACGAAAGGCATGTGTTAGGAAAATGTTTCCTACTTTAATGCACTCAGACGACAACCCAGGAGCTGGAGCTCTCTCCAGGTAAGTCTTCAGATCTTGGTCCACATGTTCAAAAACCAGAGTGACTTTAGTCTCTTGGTCTGACCTCTTGGTGGCGCAAACATCCATGAGCCTGTAAAAGACAGAACAAGAGATTTTCAGATATAAACCAAGAGAATGTCCAGAGCAGAAATCCTTTATAAAAAAAAGGTAAATAAACGCCTCACCTGACAACATTGGGGTGGTCAAACTGTTCCAGCCTCTTGAGCAGAGCCACCTCTCTGACCGTAGAGATGGGCAAACCATTCTTGTCCGTCTGCACACGGACACTCTTCAGTGCTACAAACTGCCCACTCTCCGTGTCTCTGGCCTTATATACTGTCCCATAAGCGCCTCCTCCGATCTCCGCCACACGCTCATACTGCATACTGGCGGCGTGGGCCATTGCCAACTACAAACAGACTGACACACAAACACAAAAAGAAGCATTAGAGGCACAGCATTGGTTAAAGGTTAGACCTGCAGTGAATAAACAACAAAAATACACAGTCTAATAAACATGACCACATGTCATGGTCATTTTGTCAGTGAAGATATAAAAGCAAAAAAAAAGTTAGATATTCAAATAAATAATTAGATAAATGACAACATTGTCAGAGTTTGTTAGAATATTTTAAGGCACAGTCAAGAAACCTCAAGGTCACGGTCCGTGCTTGTAGAACGGAAGATTTCCCACGGAATGTTTTTACAAACGTCTCTTTGAAAGTTCTTACTGTCAAGGATTTTTTTCTATCCACTATTGGACATGAAAAAAGAGAGACTGAAATTTATTTATCTCTGTATTCCCTCCGCTCCCCCGCAGGTTGCAATTTCTTGCGCTTCTTCTTCTCCAAGCAGGTTTTCTGCATCCATCACGGCCTGGATCATTTCTTGTGCACTGCTATATTTTTTTTTACGTTTTTCTAAAATGCACTTTTGGGCCATCTAAGTGTGAGACCATGTAAGTGTTATACATGAATGGTCAGGGGTTTTTTTTTCATTTCAGAGTATAATTATATTGCAATTTAAATGCTAATTTCTCCAAGTTTACCTGTTCAGTCAAGGCGCCGTTGGGCCTTTGTCACCGTGCTTTAGCTGATGTTAAATATAGTCAAACTGGTGGTGTTTTGTGAGTATGTTTTTTTTTTTTACTATATTAACCCAAGTGTAACATTTTAAGCTTTTATATTTTTTGAAAAGTCCGAAGCAGAGCTGAGGATTATGGGAAAGGCATTAGAGTAGCAGGTGTTGTAATGAACTCTCCATGAACTCCATCTTGGCTGTGAGAGAAACCATTGGATCCTCTGCAATAAAGACAGTTTTGTCCTCAGGCTGAGTTTAACGTTCGGCAGAAGATTGAATTTGTGGTCTTTTCCCCCCTCGCTCCAAACAGCTCCCATCTAAAATTAATGGATGTTCCTCCACAGCACTTGATCTTGATGTATTTGGACATCCACTGTCAAACCAGTATAAACCTATTCTTGGTCTGTCCACGGTGCAGCCAGCAGCCGTCCCCAGGCAGAGGGGACCAGAGACGAGACATTTGAAACGGGAAGTGAACATTGAAATATTCTCTGCTTCATTTTCTTCACTTTTTGTAATCAATTATTTAAATGATGCTACACCATGTTAAATTGAACTCTAAATATTCTATCAATTCCTAAATGTATTTTCTTGAGGGTCTTCAGGTGGAATTCGAGCAAACTGAACTCTCAGGATTTGGGCTGTACAATTAAAATGGACTTGTATTGACTTGACCTTTTTTCTGTCCTTTACTGAGGACAGGGTGAAAGTGTGGTTTCATTAAGCATCAGTCAGAGCAACGATTAATGTAGACGGATGTTAATCTTTGTCTCAAATCGCCCTGGGTGAGAAGACCGGAGATTTTCTCAGCTCCAAAAGAGAAGGAGAAGAACAAGATGACTGAGAAGGAGAAGAACAAGGACGACAAGAAGAACCAGAACAAGAAGTCGAACAAAACATAGAACAAGAACAGGAAGAACAACAAGAACAAGAAAGCAAATAAACCAATAATGAGAACAAGAAATAAAAGAGCACAGAAAAGGAGAATGTCCCATCCTCCCTTCTCATACCCCCTCCTTTTTGCTGACCTCTTTGTAAACCTGGTCCACTCCTTGGCCAAACAAATGTCAAGTCTTCTTCCTTCCTTTTTCTGATCTCAGTCTGTTTTATCTGTCAGACCTGTATTCTACACTTCAGCCAGACAAAGAGCAGGCACTCAGTCTGATTCCTCAGCTCGTAAATATTACATAACTTAAATGAAAGAGCCGCATCGGCCTGAGTGAAGAGAGTCCAACAACACCTCGAGATGCGGAGCCTCAACAGCTCACTTGACTTGTTGACGTTTGGTTGACAAAGTCAATACAAACGGAGCAGCGCAAAATGGTGTTCTCAGAAAGTGAGACGTCACAAAGCTACATATATATAGTTTTTTTAGGGGTCCACTCAGTGGTGTGTGCATAACAAGGGGCGTTCAAGTACCATCAGAAGAAATAATATTGCATTTGAAAGGGTGTATTTGCATAATTATGATATATTATCATTACATCAGTGGTTAATTTGGCCTCAAGATAACGTTGACAATAATAGTGTTTACTACAAAATAAAGTTGGGACAGATGCAGATTTGCCATTTGAAAAGATCAAATTGACCTTTTACTACACATCCTGTCTGTGAACCCATGATGCCAACTGTTGCATTTTTAATTTTTCTTACTTTAAAAAAGTCCTTCTCCTCCAGTTGATGTAATCAGATTTTTAACATCTCTCTTTGATCACATGTGCTTTAATTTTAAAGATTATCTTTTTTATTTACTAATATCATATTTATTTACTTGCTGAGAGAAGCAGTAGATGTTACTGCGTGTGTGTGTGACAGTCTGAGGATCAAATGGCCTTTTAATAAAGCTTACATTTTACCTCAATCTGTCCCTTGTGATTTGTTAATTGCTCCATTAGTGACGGTCTCGGTGCTGTGTTTAACCCTACTCTTCCTGCTTTTCCTCAGATGCATTAAAATTGAGGTGACCACATCAATTTATTTGTGAAAGTAATCAGATTCAACTTTAACCCATGGGCAGAAACACACGTACTATATATTCAATAACTCCGTCATCCATCCACCTAAACTGTATGACAGCCCTGTTTTTTCTGTTTTCTTTTTTTCTAGATGCTGTGTGTTGTTTTTAAGTCAAGTTTCAGACTTTTTTTTTTGACATTTACCATCAGCATTTCATTGTGAGACAGCATTCTTCTGTGGGTTGTTTGGCAACTGTTGTAGGAGGCAGTGCTGCCAAAAAGGGCAACGGAGGCTTACAAACACAGGAATAGTTGAGGACAGCAAGGAGAGGGTTGCTGGAAATGCTGAATGGCCCTGGCCTTTTTTTGTTAAATGTCAAACTGATTAAAGGATGTTTCACTGATTTTTTAAACCTCTACTTACTTGGTTGTTAATGCTAATGAGACAAAAAAAAAAGACATTTTGGAGGCCGGGATATTTCAATGAATTCCATGTATGTGCTGCAATCACAAGTTAGTCCTCTGAAAAACTTTACAAACAAACTTTCTAGCCAGATCATGACTACTGCAGGGGTCTTTGACTCCACTGTAGGACCAAAGAGCTGAACAACAGTCTGAATAAAAATGGGAGTAGTGGAGTGTACATCAGAGAGAGGCTGTTCACAGTCCCTCACTGCCTCAGAGTCACTGGTCAGCCTTGTTGTGGTCTTCTGAAGCTACAGGAAGCGGTCAGGCTGTGCATGACTGGTCACCATGAAAACACACCCCTCCCCCTCCTTTCCTCTCAGCCACAGGATATTTAAGATTTTTTTTTTCCACCAATAAGAACCGGAAGAATTTAACATTTTTGAGCTACAGTGGATGTCTACTACACTGAAAGTGTTTTAAAGATACTTCAACACCAAGTCTAACTTTGGCTGCCACACACTAATCATCTCAGTTAACACTGTCTTGATGAACAAGGATTTCTTCAATGATGATTGGACATACCATGTGACTGACCGGAGGTGGGAGAAATAATCACTTTTCCAATATATCGGGATGTTCTTTCTGAGCTATGAAGTGATTTAAAAAATATCCATAATCAATATTTTTTCAAAATAAAAATGTCAACAAATGTTGACCCGACCAATAACAACACTTCATATACATTTGCTAATCCAATTGGCTAATGCAACGTAATGGTTGTCACCAAAGTGCATCACTTGGGATGTTCAGTCATGGTGCAGCTACAACCATCACCTCAATGACATTTGACCAGTGCCCAAAGTCTTAAACGCTAACTTGTGGCAGCGTTTCAGCTTTCATGAAGTAAATTACTCATTTCCAAAAACAGTGGGAAAAGAAAACAGCAAACAATGCCCAATGTACTGATTCATGTATTGCATAATAGTTTCATACTGGTTTTATCATAATTCCATGATCAGAATGGAATTGAACTGTGACGTACCCAGAGATTAACCAACTTCAGCAAATATGACGTGACGCCAAGAAATTTAAAAACAAGGCTGCTAATAATATTTTGTAAAGATAGAAATAGAATTCACACTTCTTTGTACTTTCATTCACTACTTTGTGACATTATATAATGTGCCGTCTTAATAAAAGATGACTTCATATAAGTCAGTATGACCGGGGTCCTATTGAATTAGCTGTCAATAACACAGCCCCTTTATACGTACTTAAGTATACTGTAAGTACTTCTTTTCTGTCACTATGTAACCACAGTCTGGGACAAAGCTACAAGGTCCAGTACTTCAAAAATATGCCTCGCAAACTACAGTATGTCTTACAGTGAGGCTGGTTTCAATCAGGATTTTGTGGACATTGTTTACTGTCCTCATTAAAGGAAGTAGTGACCCTGAGGTCGTTGACCTACCAGGCTGTAACAGTAGCTGTTTGTTTTTTTTTAATCAGCAACTGGTTCTTCCAGTATTGACAATAGCAGACAAGAATTCTGCCTTAAATCCATTCACTCATGTACAAGTCAAGTTGGGTCAAGACGTGACTCGGCGATGATGGCTCTGTGGGCGGGGGTGAAAAAAAAAAGCAGACAAACGGCAAACAGAAGCTTCAGTGTCGGTTACACGTGTTGGCTTAAGGCTCTTCAATAATCTTTTTCTGTTGATTAAACCACAGAAACTAAAGGCCACACTTGTGGGTTTTTTTTACCTCCTCACCCACGTTAACTGACGTGGCGGAGGGAAACAACATCCGAGAACACGTATGTTAACTTTGATAGCACATTCGGGAAGAACTTCATACCCCTCCGCTGCCAGAGGGTCTATTTCTTTGTCTTTCCTACATACTAACACGTTTTAAAATGTGTGGATTCGTGTTACTTACCTCGTCTGTTTCCTCAGGGCGGCAGGTACGAGCTACTTTAGCTCTATCAGGAGGACATGCTCTTCAATAAAGTGCCACGTATAACTCAACTCCCACTGAAGAAGCGTCGGACCTGGGCCCCAGAATTCAGATCCCGTCAGGAGTGGCTCTGTTGTGGAGAAGACAGTGAAGATGGTGTGATTCAGGCCTGCACGGAGTTTCTCACTCCCTCAGCCTGTTGCTGCTCTTGGTGCCGCCGCTGCTGGAGCCTCATAGACGGGGTTGTCGGAAGAGGTGGAGCTAAAGGCTTCAGAAGCGCGGGCTTGGTCTCAATACGTGAGGCGCTCAATCTCATCAGAATGACATATTAACCTTTAATGATCGTCGACGTTTCCCTCCTTGTCGTTACCGGGTTTTGTTATAAATAATGTTTCCTTCGCTCATTAAAGGCTATAGTTTTACTTACTGTAATTAGCTCTTAGAGAAGTGTACGTTCAATTAAAATATCTTACTAGAAATTGTTACAATACCACTGAATAATGTATGTGTTTATTAATTAAAAGCTTCCAAAATGTATAGTTTTGTGACTAACGTTGTTGGAATCGAACCACAGAACTTAAAGTGTGCGTTTAAGGTTCGGTGATTAATTTTGGTAAAAAAATAAAAAAAAGACAAACTAAACATCTTTTCTGCGACGTCATGGAACATCGTCACAAGCAGAACCAGAGCATAAATAAATACATCTTGCAGCCGCAGTTTCCACTTTATGTATAAATTATTTTTGAACATGACATCCTTCTATCTGTACGAGTTTGTGAAGCAAATCCATTTTTTTACGATAGTTTGTGTATCCAAATGCGTGTCCAAATTCTCTAAGTTTTGTGATTTAGAAAAATACTTTGGTTAAAATTAACATTATTACATTATAACACTTATAATTAAGGAGGCATTATTGTTTATCCTCAATACAAAATTAGGGATTTAAAAACAAATACCTTCAGGAAAATTAAGCCACAATTCATTGTACTTATTACAACTGCATAGAAGTTTAGAAAATACTGCCTGGTCTGATTCATCCTAAAGAGTCAGAAGTTAATATAAACCCATTAACGTCAACATTTACTCCTTCTACTTTTTAGGCTGTGGGTGTAATGTTATATGGTGTACTTCAGTACCACTGGACGAACCTGCACTGCTCACTTCCTTATATTACAGTACATGCACTCTGCATTTCAATAGAGGCATTAAATTAATAGAATTTTTTTTCATTTGTTCTGTGTCCTCTAGTCTTTGTGGTTATGACTATCTGTTTATTTGTTTATTTTAATCATCACTGTTTTATTGGTATTCTGTAGTTATTATTCTTGTGGTTGTTGCTGTTGTTGTTGTTGTTTTGTGGCCCTTGTTTTCGAATGACTTCAAGCACTTACAGTCTGGCGTTCAACTGCCTCATCTCAAGGGTCTCTTTACAGCAACATCCTTTTAATAAAGTCTCTCTCTGTCAGGAATCTGACGATCGCTCTACACCCACCAGCCGTTCTGTCACAACTACGTAGGTCCACGAAATGTTATATTCCATTCTACCATCTGTAATCCTGTCCTAACCCAGCTTTTGTCAAATTATTTATGTAGTTATAGGTATATATTTCATGTGTTTACATTATTATCCCTGCTGTTTCACCTGTTAAGTCTGAAAATGAGGATTGGTTACAGGCGATATCTGTGTTTTTGTGTGTGTTACACATGAGTATTGATCCTACTATACATTAAACTAGTTTAAGACCTGTTTTTATATATTATTATGTGGTTTACCAGCAATATTCACTGCTGAAAAAAACACACAGGAGCAATATTAAAATTCATCTCGGCACACGTGTGAATGGGAGATGTTGGACTGAGGTGGTTTGGACTTGAGCTGAGAAGCGATAGAGGCTTTAATGGTAAAAGTTGGAGTTGGAGATGGAGCCGTCAAGCAGAGGGGAAAGAGGAAGACCCCAGAGACAAATCAAAGACGGTGTCACACAGGACGAGACGGTGGTTGATGAAGAAGGGAAAGGACAACAAGGAAGAAGAAATTAAATGAGGATGAAGATGACTCTTCTAAGTTGGAAAATTGGCATTTAATTCTAACCTTTAAAGGTCTACAAAATGGTAATTGTGGCAGGTATTTATTGATGGCTTAAATCACAAAGGCCTCCTGTAATTTGAAAATAGCCCCAGGACCCAAAAAAAGGAAATAGTAAAACTCTGTCATTCAGAATGATAAACCTCAACAAATGTCACTGAGTGACCATTGGAACCACTTCAGTGCACAGCTCCAAGTGGTTACTTATTTATTTGATGATTTCTCCAACTTTTAATTTTATACTTTGATTGTTTTGCTATTGATTGGCGTTGATAAAAGTGAGGATTGATTATACATTATGTGGATATTATAAATAAAATGCATCAACTAATAATTATGTCCATAATAACTCCAATAATAACTAATGGTATCATGCTGTCTATTTGTCAATGTGTTTGTGTTTTTAAATAAAACCAATGTGTAAGTTTGGAGAAAAAAATAAAATTTTATTCTTATTAAACTATATTGGACTAAAATGTAAAAACTCCAACACGAGTCTCTCAGATCATACGAGACAATGTTAAAAGATTATTTAAGTGAGTAAGAAGGAGACTTATTTTCTGCCTGTTTTAAATACATAATCCAAATCCAGACATTTAGTGATAGCCATTCTTACATTTAGTACATTTAGTAGTAAATAACCAGAATTAAAGGTGCATAGATTTTTAGTACCTCATACATTCTGTCATTACCTGCTTTAATTACCTACTTGCTTCTGAATTAGCGTAGCATCACTTGGCCTATATAGAGTAAATATAGTATAATATAGTATATTATAGCATGTATGGTATGATTTTGCATATCATTTTATACTAAAAGACCGCTCTACTCTATATAATATATTTGTCTATTCTTATCTTTTCTTCCCTTTTTCCCCCCTATGCACGTTCCTTCCTATCTTAGTCGAAAGTCGATCCAATTTGAATTTTAACCCGAACCATATATTGTCCACAACATAATTCTGTTAAGGTTAATGGTCTGCTTCAGGTTGGTGGTCTCCGTGCCACTCCCATGTCATTCATGTGAAATATAAGCAAAAATAAATAAGTTAAATAAATCTATATCTGTAAGCAAAAATAAATAAGTTAAATAAATCTTCTGTTAAAGCCTGAAAAATAAGCAAATTTATATTGCAATTTGAACATACATCCCTCCGGACAGACTGGCATACAATGTTTCGAACAGACTGGATTGACCTAAAGATGAAGATGATGATGAAGATGATGATGGTGATGAAGATGATGGTGATGATGATGATGATGATGATATTTGACTGGCGTTTTACAACACAAAAGAGATAGACAGTAGAGTCTGTCTGCATGATGATGATGATGATGATACTCTGACTGGTGTTTTAAAACGCAGAAGGGAGAGACAGTAGAGTCTGTCTGTTGTCTGCTCGTCTTGTGTTTGCAGGAACCCTTCAGTGGGATCTTCTCTCTCCTCCTCCTCCTCCTCCTCATTTGCGGGTGGATAGAAAAACTGGCAACACCAAGTTGCTGAGGATTTTCTTTTTTTCCTCATCTTTGTTCATCAGGATGTTTTTCTTTACTACCTGCTTTGTGCATCACCTGCACTCACTGCCGCCGGATGGTAACTTTGTAACCTGGCTGTTGTCTGGGCTGGCGGTGGGGTTGTGTGGGGTTTGATGCCTTGATCAGGCGTAAAACGGCAACAGACGAAGAGGAGGAAGCAGAACTGAACTGGTGCCACTGCGAGACAACAAAGGATCCACGCGTATCACTCTCCGTGATTCCATCTCACTGAAGGTACCGTACGTAGAAGACTTCTGTTCATATTTATACTTGTATGGTGGTTTTTTTTTATTTAGCGGATGAGAAAAAACCCATCGTCGACCCTCTACAGACGCTCCTTGTCTGCTCTCCAGCTGAGGTGGGAGAGCGGACCACGGACAGCTCCTCCTGCGGCTTGAACGCACCAGGAGGAGCCCTTTAAACTGCGCTGACCAAAACAAGCGGAGGGGTCCGTCACACAGGCATGACAGGATGCTGCTACTGGACCGAAGTGACCTCTCTGACCGTGCCTCATGCTGCTCCGTGGACCTCAGCCTCCATTGAATCTGGGGAGAAAACGCGTCTATCCATGGAAATTCACTCCTCCCTATTGGCTGGATCGCAGTGCACATGCTATAACAACAGGATATGCAAAGAGCTACGGGCTGCTCCAGCCTATCACCCGTTTGGCACGCTTTTTTGACCAAGATCTGTGTTCAGTTCAACGTAATGAATGGGGGACAGGTGTAGTAGTAGGGCTGTGGTGATGGACAGTGAGCGGCTTGGCACGGCGAAGCAGGGGCGCAGTGTAGTTGGTCAAAGCTGCAGCTGAAGGATGTTCAAGTATCGGATCCGACTGTTCTTCAACGAACTCAAAGTGTTGTTACTGATGCGCTCCGGATCAAGCGGGAGGACTGACACGCGCACGGACGCGGACACGCAGACCAGGATGCGTGGTTTAATGGGAGGCTGCGTTTGGCCACAGCTTAACTGCTCCCACCGGGACGACGATGAGGAGTATTACGGCTCTGACCCACGGCCACGCAGCCTGGCGTTCGAGGACAAAGACGGAGCTCAACACCTGGAAGGAGGAGGAGCAGAAGAAGGCCTGGACGCTGGCTCCCTCCCGAGTCTGTCTGAGAGCGGGACGCGATCACCACAGTGCCGGATCTGCTTCCAGGGACCAGAGAAGGTAAAGTAAAGTCAACGTCAGTGGCTTTGAAAAAGGTCAAGGTTTTTCCTGGATCCAGAAAAGTTCCATCAAAGTTTACAAGTTGGGATTATTCTCTACTAATTGTTTCTACTGTGAAAATTCAAATTTGTTTCTATTGCTGAAAGTTAACTTTAGGAGTTGAACAGATTTTTTTTTTAAATTTTGCAGCCAGTGAAACATACAGTATGCATTGGCTATAATGAATTAAAATACTTTTGATGACTTCACATTGACCTCAAGGAAATTCAAAGACAAAAGGAAATGTTTTCATTTGTCATCAGTTCGTCAGCTCCTTTTCATCATAATTTTCATTTGTCATCAGTTCGTCAGCTCTTTATGTGTGTGTCCTTTTCATCATACAAACCCGTGCACACATCTGTTTAAAGGTTGCAGTGTTACATCAACACCCGACTGTTTCAGATGTGCAGGAGACAATGGAGTCTGCTCAGACGTTAAGACTAAAAAAGGGATTTTAATTAATCCATTAACAGAGGTCTGAAAATAACTCGGGGTAGACACAGGGTATTACTTCAGCAGAATTACTCTGTGAACTACTGAGTTCACTGCAGCTCATATCACACGTGATGCAAATAATTGCAGTATTTAGTGATAAAAGGCTCGGAAAAAGAAGCTGACAGTTGGCAGTCGCCTGTTTATGAGACACTGTGTGTTCTGTTACTACAAATGCACACAAATTGTAGTCAAACCTCTACCGTTCCATTAGTGCGGATGTTTATTCAACACGTTCACGTCGTCCTGGTCATTAAACTAGGAGTGCAATAAATCTAGTGAATGAATCTGCCTTAAAGAGACTGTTGACTGATTTTGTTTTTTCAGTTTTCCCTCCAGATACCCGGCTGATTAAAGACCTAGCACATCACCTGCAGTTAGACAGAAAATAAATTGATATATGCAAAAGTGTTGTCAGTCCAAGGGCCTGTGGGAGCTTCGTGCTGACAACAAAAAACCCAGTGCCAGATGTCCTGTGAATTCTTCCGAGACTGCAGGAAAGTAGCATCAGAGAGGAAAACTGTGTGCAGTTGAGGACAGTGAGCAGCCGAGAGTCAAATATGGACGTGGAGTTAGTTACTTCTCCACCTGTCCTTGTCCAACGGACGCCAAACTGAGTCACTGCTGCTGAAGTCGATTCAAACACTGACACGATCCTGCTGTTTGTTTTTAATCAGAGTGATGTTTGATCAGCAAATGCATTTTCTTGTGGCATCCCGAAAAAGTCAGCGCGGTGTTTCTGAATCTGAACAATTGTAAATCCATCGTCTCAACAGTAATGGCTGACTGTGTGACTGACACAGTTCCTAACAGCCAATGAAATCATTCGTCTTCCTGCCACCTCCTCCTGCCACAATTGGTCTTTAATGACTAACAATCATCAGATATTAGGTTTTGTAATTTTCCAAAAAAATTCTGATGATGTAAACAAATATATTTAATGTAATAAAGCAAACACAAACAATAAAACAACCCGACAACAAGACACCCAGCCAAAAGTGTGGCTCAGGTAGCTGTGGTATCACTCCCCAGTCACTCCTCCAACCTTGTGACTTTACATTCTGCCCTCCTTAGAATAGGATGTGTTCCACCACACCTCCCTCCCCTCTTTCTGCAATGACCCTCGTTACGGCTATGCTGCCCCTTTGAGGCTAAACAACAGAATTTCCCAGTAGTCAGTCAGAACTAAAGACGCCTCTTGGACGAGAGAGAAGAACCCGTCTCTGTCCAGTTGCCCTGGACGTAACTATTTTTAGATTAAATGACCTGGATGACTGAGAACCTACGCAGACAAAAACAAGTGTGAGTTACTGACAGTGACTCATTCACTTTATGCTAATGACTTCACTGACGACTTTGTGGAACTTTTCCAACGCACCATTCAATGCTAACAAAAACTGTTGTGTTGCTGTCACTGTAGAAAATGACTGAGTGGCAGCGATGTTCAGGGTGTCACTAATTTAAGGTCCCGGTGTGCCCCACAGCACTGTTCCGACGTATCAGCTCTCAGAGTTTAAATAGACAGTACAATAGACACACAGACTCCGAGAACCTGCACATACCCACACATCAGTGCTTTGGCAGCTCCACGGTGTCACACCGCCTGTCAGGTCGAGTAAATCTGGATTAATCCTTTGAATTTCCTCAGTGTGTTAAAATTAAACCTCAAAATATAACACTTTTCTCTGGGTTTTTGATTACTTCGCCACATGAAGATGGAAAACAGGTTTTCATATTAATAACGGGAGTCAAATCAACCAATTATGTGCGATTAATCAACTGCATATTAAAACAGCATGGTGAAATGCAGCACAAGTGGATTTGCCTCTCAACAGTGGCAGCTTTTATTCAAAATAGCTGCCTGGCAAACTGAGTAATGTTCATCGAAGGATAAAATTAAAAAGATGCCGGGCAGCAGGGGATCAGAGACACTGGCAGACAAAAATGAAGAGGCAACGAGATGAGTTTTTAACTGTCTGCACCCCCGACAAAGGCAGTTCAACTCTGCTAGGTTATCTGCACAGGCAGCGACTGATGCATGTCAAGGAAGTAAAAACATGGTTACATCCCATATTAATCCTCCGAGCGCAGTGCAATTATACAGTGATGATGAAAGACGGTTATTTTCATCGCAAATTTCCGCAAGACAAATCTGGAGGAGACTGAAGTCACACAGCCTCACAAAAAAGTGGTCCAAAAAGTGACGATTCGTAAAAATAGAAGCAGTTGGCAAAAGAAGGAGAGACAGTGATGTGGGAGCTTTGATCTCAGCGCTGCACTTACTCTGCTCACCAGAGACAGGGAAGGCTTTAAAGTCAATACTTTTTATCTGACAGATATAAAGAAGAAACCGGGCTATCTATAACACATGGTGCTGTTGTTCAAGGTCACTGCGAGGAGCAGGGAATGATGGGAGTTTTGGCCGAACGTAGATCAACTCGTTCTATTTATCTAGATCCTAGATGTTTGTCACTGTCACCAGATCTAGGCAAAGTTGTTTGTTTTTTGTTTACCATCAACACATGCTTAAAATATCATTACAAGTACACTGCATCATGTGTGTTTGTCATATACACTTAACTGTAGTATGATGCCAACATGAAGTGCAGTATCCTGTTGGAAAGAAGAGATGCTTGACTGATTTGTTCCAAACACTACAACTCTTCCCTTTATGGGATTTGAACCAGCAACCCTATGATCACTATCAAGCACTTTAACTCAGTTCGTGTTCAACTAAATGTACGTCACGACCAAAAATGACAAAATACAAAATGTCTTGCAAGTCCCAAAAATGACAAAATACAAAATGTCTTTCTTGCAAGTTATGCATTAAAGCTAAGGCTTTAAATGGTTAAATAAAACTGTTTGTATGAATTAAAATTGTAGTATTAATTATTGTTGCATTAGGAAACAAGAGGAAACAAGATCAGACTATCACGGTCAAATGGTCTAAAATTAAAGGGGGGGAAAATGCACAAAAAGAAAAACTCAAAGGAATGGTCTCCACTTCTTATTCCACTGTCCATATTCATCCATGCCCTCCTTCAACAGCTGGTTCTCCATCTTGATAAAACATCTTCCTATTTATGTTTTTTTTTCCACCCTAACATCAACTCTGAATCTCAACTGATAAATGTCACATTTAGTCACAGCATCCCTTTGTGGACGTCTAATTGCTGTTTATGTCCTGCAGGGGGAGCTATTGAGCCCCTGTCGCTGTGACGGCTCAGTACGGTGTACTCACCAGTCCTGCCTTATACGTTGGATAAGTGAGAGAGGATTGTGGAGCTGTGAGCTGTGTTACTTCAAGTACCAGGTTCTGGCCATCAGCACCAAGAACCCCCTGCAGGTAGAGTCAGTCACTGAGTCTGTCGTCGTCTGTCGTCGTCTGTCGTCACAACACACGTTTACAATACATCCAACACTGCAAAAATATCTGTTTATTTGGAATTCACTGGAACATCTGTTTCAATTTGACAGAGGGATTAAATATATTGAATGTTTCTCCGGGTACTTGTGTTAAATTTTAAGCAAATATTTTGAATGTGACACCAACAGCACACTCCATAAAAGTGTATCTTTTAATATTCTGGCTGAAAAGAAAGAAAAAAAAGAATAAACTGAACAATCTGGGGTCTCTGTTGTGTAATTCCCCTCTTTATGAAACACAGATTTTCAGCTCACACACTGTGCTTTTTTTCTTCACAATAATAGTGGAATATTTCTCCTTTGCACAGACACTGGGTTCTTAGATACCAAATACTCACCACGAAGGACGACGATTAGATGTTAGGTGAATACTGAGTATTGCAGTTCTCACATTAGCAGCAGCACTGAATCCTCGTCTGACAGAACATGCAGCCGCTCCCTGGAGGAGGAACAGAACAGAAGTGTTATCAGCTGGTAAACAAAGGATTTGTCACATGCTAAAGAAGAAGAACACATCGTGGACTTGAGCGTAGATGCCAAGAACAGATTTATGAAACGTTGCACTTGTCGAAAAGAGTGAGCAAAAAAGCCCTCAGTCTACCACACAGACCTGATGTTTTTATTCTCTGAATGTTGACGACTGAGATACGACTGCGTCTGACGAGACAACGCCGTTTGGATTTTTCAGCATTAGCATACGATTGACTTTCAAATATGCAGAAAAGCTCTTTTAAGAAACCGTGTCACTGAGGAAGAGCATTTTGAATTAATCTCTTATCAGAGACTACAGACCTGGAAGCCCCCCCTCCCCCCTCCCCCAGACTATAATTATATCTGTTCTCAGGATTACCAAAAACCTGGAATTGAGGCGGAGCAGCTGTTGGTGTTGACATCAAAACAGATTTTGTGTTGCTGTTCAAATTAGTAATTTGTGCAGCCCAATTATTATTATTCTCTTTTTCAAATACCATTCTTGAATTGTCAGTGTGTTTCAGAGTTAGGGCTGTTCTGTAATTCAGCTGAAACAGCTGTGTGTACGAGATCCGCAACAGAGTTCGTGCTGCTAGTGTCGATCATAAAAGTGACATTTTTTACACATTTATGTTTGTAGCCCTAAGACAGTTACACATGGAAGACCAGGCCTAATGTACATACAGTAGATGGCACATAAGAAATGGGGAGAACTACATCCGCTGCAGGCAATGGTTGCACAGCGAAGTCCTGGAATATCAAAGGAAGAACAAACACCTACAAAAAGCGAGAGCTATAGTTTTTATTTACAGCATTTATACTGTACAAACAAAAGTGCACTACATTTTTCAACGCACCGTCGTTTGTCTTTCACTGCAATACTGTCTTTGTTGATTATTATATTTTAGGGATGTCGGGTATAATATCTGACATGCCGATATTGTCCGTACATTTAATTTCCGATTCCAATGACACCAGCATTCTTCATATAATCCCCCAGTTATTAAAATAGATCAATTAAATGAGCTGCAATGCTGCCATCTAGTGACTTTCACTTTAACATACAGCTGTTTATCCCCAAAACTATTTTTAGGGCACACGTCACTTGGTGAAACCCAGGCGTGGCGTAATCAGGTTTTCATTATCGGAGGAAATAACGATAACGATTCTTACAGATATGACATAATTATGGTAATATCAGCCGATATTATCAGATATCCCTATTATATTTACCTGAATGTACAGGTTTTATTATCTAACAGTCACTGGCAGAGACCTGCAGAAGCAACAACTTTTTATTCATTCCCAAACTTTGTTGTTTGAGTTAATAAAAGCGTGTGTTTGTGTGAGGTGAAGTGATCCACACTCTGGAGGAGCCCAGAGTTGATTGAAGCAATAAAGAATGTTTCTCATCGAAGATTAAACAGCAATTTAAGTTGATGAGAAACGTTAAACCTCAAACTGATGCTGCGCTGACAGATGGACCTAGAAAACTACGTTTTAATGAAAAACATCTATAAAAACAGACGGAAACATTTAGGTGGTGCCTCGGAATGTCTGATCTTCACGGGAGAATTCTCTACTTAAATCCTGAATTATTGAGTGGAGTTTGAAGTTCACCTATTTGTAACAAAATGTTAACACTTCTGGTTTTATAAGCCTTTTCTGCTGCTCTCAGGTGAGACTAAGGCAAATTTAATGAACAAATACTTTGATAAACTAAGGTTTTAAAAGAAGCTTTCATTTATACATTTAAGGACTGTTTTCATTAAAGTACAAAATAGAAAATAAGGAATTTGAGAAATATTATGATGGACTTCTGACTGTGGTGTCTTTCAGTCTGATGTGGTGATGAAGACTCTGACTGTTGTATATTTTTGGCACCTGTACAGTGGCAGTCCATCTCTCTGACTGTGATTGAGAAGGTGCAGATAGCAGCCATTGTCCTGGGCTCCCTGTTCCTCCTGGCCAGCATCTCCTGGTTGGTGTGGTCTTCTCTCAGCCCCTCCGCCAAGTGGCAGCGTCAGGACCTTCTCTTCCAGATATGTTACTGCATGTACGGCTTCATGGACATAGTCTGTATCGGTAAGAACGTCTCTGTTTGCTGAGGATCTGTGTTTTATATTCAAGAAAACACAAAGTCGGTGCGTTTACTCACCCTGGCTTAATATCAGAGGATAGAGGTTCAAATCTCAGCCTCAGCAGGACTGCTGGGTTTAGCAAACACCTCAAAAGAACTCCTGTGCACCCCCCACCCCCTCAAGCCCCCCATCGAGTGCAGCCCACTGCCCACCTCCACAACCCCCCCATCGAGTGCAGCCCACTGCTCCCGTCTCCAGCTCTGATCACTAGGTTGTTTCATGGATGGGTTTGAAACAGAAAAGCAATTTCCCACAGGGGAAAAATAACACCTTGTACCACGAAATCCCTTTAAGGTTGGTGTGAGAAGGGAAAGGGTGAGTGGTGTGAGAAGGATGGGGGGGGGAGGGCTCTGAGGCCACGGGTGGGCAGGATACATGCTGGACAATTGTCCGGTCCATCAAAGGCCTACAGCAAACATGAACAGCCGTTTACGTTTACACTCACACCTATGGTTATCTCAGAGAGAATAATTCTGATTTTTTTCTGGACTTGATAGAAAACTGTACTTGTATTTAGAACTGTAGAACAGAAAATGTCTGGAACAACATGTCAGAGATTCAGTCAATCACCCACTGAAACTACACCTAACTGTACCAGCCTGTATCCTCAGTGGTATGGGATGTAACTCTTTGGTGAATTTACCTCTGGGTCACATTTTGAAATGTATCACAGAGTTTATGTCTGACACATAAAATAAGTTGGTCTGTGAGAACAACAAAAATATATTTTTCTTTATTCTTTTGCGTGATAGATGAAGGTTCTAATATATTCCTAAACAACAGATTTTTATTAAAGGTTTCTGGATTAGTGTCTGTTCTTCCACTACATCTAACCCTGACACTGACACCTTTGTTATTCCCAGGTCTTATAATCCACGAAGGATCGTCTGTTTACCGGATCTTTAAGCGCTGGCAGGCGGTGAACCAGAAGTGGAAAGTCCTGAATTACGAGAAGTTGAAGGACTTAGGCGACCCCGTCAGTCTGAGCAGTAAAAGTCCCGGTCATGTGGAGAGGAATCCTCACTCTTACTCTGTGGCCAACAGTGAACAGCACGTGAGCCGGCACGTCAGAACTATTCTCCAACACCACTGTGGCTACACCATCTTCCACATCCTCAGCCAGTTACGACGCAACCATCTGCACAACGCCAACCAAGAGGTGGTGATGAGAGTGACCACTGTATGAAGCTGGGGTCTGTGCACATGATGTGTTCAAGTGTTTATGGAGAAAATAAGTGTTGTTTGGATTTTATACATAAAAACAACTTTGACATAAACCTGTTTACTTCTAGTCTTATTCATTAATTTTATATCCACTGAGCTCAAATACATCTCAGATTTTAGCTGGGGGAGAACCGTGAAGTTTTTATCTGAGTTTTTTTTTTTTTTTTTTTTGTGGAATTGAGATAAATAAGAAAAAAAAGGTTTTTGATTTTTGAATGAACAAAAAGACATTTTAATTTTAAAACCATTTACATTTACTTATTGTTATAATTATGGGGTTTATTTTGCTTTTTGTTTTAAACTTTAAATAAAGTAAGATTTTGAACTTATGACCACTGCAGTATTTTTTTCTCACCGCTGTAAAATCCCCCACACACCGGGGGAACATGAGAACGAACTTTACACAGATGGACCACCTAACTGAACTGCTACTGTTGACAACACTGACCTGAAAAATGTGCGTTCCTTCTTTGTCTGTATTATCACTTTACCAAACCTCTCTCACACCCTTTTTTCTCAGTCTCTCAGTGTTATTCCCTCGTCGTTATTCCCACACAGATGTTTCAAATCGCCCTGAAATCTACCACACCTCTTCTCAGTCCCAGTGTTTCTCTTTAAAATCCCACGCATTTAAAATCACATTGATACATATTCACAGGTTGCTTTGCAGCGTTCCTCTTGTCATTTTTTATCTATTTCAAGACCCGAATGTGTTGGTGAAACCATTTTTTATCTATTTCAAGACCCGAATGTCACCCGACATCAATAGAGGGACAGAAAGTGCAAACCTGGCAACCCCAGCTTCGCTGCGCCTGTTGATGACGAAAGAACGACGCGACAAAGCAAGAGTAAACTTAAAACCCATTTTACTACGTCCGATTGCATTGGATTCGGGTTTTTAAACATTTTAACATAAGTCTAAGTGAGTAAGGACCGTGACTGCAGTTCGACATGGAGGTGTCGATGCCCCAGAAGCGTTACTACAGACAGCGAGCGCATTCGAACCCGATGGCTCACCACTCGTTTGAAAAGTGAGTGAGGTCCATGTGTCTGACAGAGAGAGAGAGAGAGAGACACACACACACAAACACACACAAACACACACACACGCTGCTTTAGATCCGCCTTAAACCTTTGGTATCATTTATAATGCTAATGCTAATGCTAATACCTAAAATGTATTTTTAACGTTTGTTAAAGGACTTGTTCTCCCATGTTCCACACACCCTGGTCTTCTTTAACCTCACCAAAGACAAGAAGGCCATAGTTTTCAGTGCATACAAGACAACGTGATCTTCTGTCTGAAAGAGAATGACGTTTCACTCAGTACTACTAATGTCTGTAAATGTTGTTTTCCTCAGTACTTAGTACTGCTACAGTCTGTACAGGTCACATTTTTTTTTGCACTTCCTGTTTTTGTAGTCCTGTGTGTCCAGAGGAAATGGACTGGTCTCAGCTGTATCCTGACTTCTTCACTGAAGGTGTGTCTGATAAAGAGATGTCACGAGTGGAGTTTGCAGACATCGGCTGCGGATACGGTGGTCTTCTGGGTCAGTGGGGTCAACATCTCTGACCATTCCCAGTGTACGCTGTGTCATTGGTTTGACCTTTTGTCTGTGTTCTCTTTTTCCTCAGTGGAGTTATCTCCACTGTTCCCAGACAAACTCATGCTGGGCATGGAGATCAGAGTCAAAGTGTCAGACTACGTCCAGGATCGAATCAAGTCGTTACGTGCATCACAACCTGGCAGCTATCAGAACATCGCCTGCATTCGTAGTAACGCAATGAAGTTTCTTCCCAACTTTTTCTTCAAAGGACAGGTGAGTCTGAATCTGTCTTTATCACGGGCTTATCCAGTCACGTCAAGGAAAAAAAAATGTACAGACAGGCCGGTCCGTCAATCAAGACCCAAATTTAACTGATATTTTACAACAGGTGAGTCTGAATCTGTCTTTATCATGGACTTATCCAGTCACGTCAAGGAAAAAAATGTACAGACAGGCCAGTCCGTCAATCCAGAACCAAATTTAACTGATATTTTACGTGAGTTCTGTCTGAAAACCAAGGTCAAGGTCAAACGCAAATGCCTGTAAATGTACACACGTCTAAAAACGTTGGGTGTTCTAAAACCAACAACAACAAAAAAGATTTAACAGTTATTTAACACATAGTTTTAAAATGGAATTCCTGTTTTGGCATCAACAAAACAAATCTTTTTCTCACTCTGAGGATGTTAAACTCTCGTGCATTTTACTAACAGCTTTGAGACTTTAGTTTCGGAACATATTTGGTCTTGTTGGAAAATTCCGATGCAAAAAACCCAGTGAAAATCAGCCCAGTGTGAGTCTGCTGTAATACAACACTTTAGTTTTGGCATCAGATCAAAATGACACCTTTTCTCATGTTAAATGAATTTCTGTGGATTACTCATTAATCCAGGGTTTTCCAACAATGGAGACATTGACCGACATGCATTTCACTGCATCAGCTGAGAACGGAGCCGTGGGATGGAATCCGTTGCAGTTCTGTGCAGTAATCTGTGACTTTTTAAATCTGGCGTTATATGACACGGGGGCTTTGTCTCTGAGGGTTAATGTAGGTGCCTGGGGTAAAAAAAAAAAAAGTTACCTTAAATGCCCTGAGACAGTGTTAAGTGGGAAATGTGCATGATTTTATTAGCTCTGACAAAGAGATTTTTGTTGAAATATAAAATATATAGGTGTATATAGAACCTGTTATTTTATACGTATTCATATGTTGTTAGGTCATTTCAGGTGTATAAAATATAATGGCGTCTTGGCAGATCGCCAGGGTTTTAGTGGTTTATTTAAGACTTACAGTAATGAATGGCGGGGAAAAGAACGTTAGAAAATTTAATTGACAAAACATAGTCAATACAGTTTACACGCTTTTTAAAGAAGCAGGAAAAAAATCCTACTTTTATTTTAAAAAGAAAAATATTCAAAACAACGTTCTGTGATTAATTGCGATTAAATACATTGCTGTAATTATCTTTGTTCACAAAAATACAAAAAGCATTTGGTTTGTAAATGTTTTTATGTTTTTTTTAAATGTATCGTGTTAGTATTTTTCCACCTTTTCTCACCCCCGAGGCTGCAGCATTACCCTGCAGTTACCCTCCGCATGTGTCTGTCTATACCTGACATAAAAGATGTGAGTGAGTGGAGTGGTGTAAATGTATCAGCCAAACTAATATGACTGGACCGCGCTGTGGTAGAGACGAGGAGGGAAACTCAGCTCGTCTGTATTTAGGTGACGGCACTTGTTGAACTGTTGTGATTAAAGGTGACATGAGGTCACCACCAACACTGAACAGATCAGTTTCTAATCACCGCTTCATCATTTTCACCTTCCTCGCCCCTCAGCTCAGTAAGATGTTCTTCCTCTTCCCTGACCCACACTTTAAGAAGACCAAGCACAAATGGAGGATCATCAGTCCAACGTTGTTAGCAGAGTATGCCTACACGCTTCGAATCGGGGTACGTACGTAAGAGTTACACAGTAGAACTCGGTGAATTCAACGACAACCTTTGAATCTTTCTAAAACTCACCAACTGGACTAATGGAAACAGAATCCATGCTCAAAATTCTAATTTGTGTTCAGACTTTTTTCCCACTTTGCAGCCTTTACATACACTCTCTTTGGTACCAGAGAAAAAACATGATGCTTGAATTCTCAGATTTAAAAAGTTGAACACATTCTTTTATCGGTCAGTTGCAGGCCTCACTAATTGGTCAACAGTAAAAGTGAGTGGCTGGGCCGGGCCTGCAGCTGGCCGTCGTCTGTACACACATACACACCCTGTCGAAGCTGAAACACTTGAACGCAGCTGATGGAGGAGGTTGGAAAACAATGGAAGGCTTGTCTGGACCTCGGCTTTAGTTTTATCCCAGTCCCTGTGTGTGAGCGGAGCGAGCGAGCGAGGGAGTGATTTACAGCTACAGGAGACGTCAGCGTTACAGGAGCACAGCCATAAATGTGCTGCTGGGCTGAGACGTTGTCAGGAAAATCCTCATTTTCAGCAGCAGCAGACTGATGTAGGATTCTCGCTCTCGCTCTTCCATCAGTTAAATCTTAACGTGTTTTTGTAACAGACCTGATCAGTTGGGGAAAGTGTGTCATCCATGTGTTTTCTAAGAAGCCCTAGTTCTGCTAATGTTATCTGTGCAGCCGACTAAGTAAAGAGCAGGTACAGAGGTGACTGACCTCAGTGCTGTCTGTGGGTTATTTTTATCTGCTCTGTCTGGACCGTCGCTCTACGTCAATGATGAAACTTCCTGAAGCGACGAGCTTAAAAAAATGTCCAAATTGGTAAAAGAAAAAAACAAAGAAAGAAAGAAAAAAAATCACTTTGTTCTGAAGGTCTTGCCCTAAATCAACAGTGAGGGGTTAATTTTGTAACAGATAAATTGATCCATGTTTAGCCTGGAGTGACACTTGTATATTTATTCCCAGAACTGAGTCACTAACCTCCCTGTGTTTGCTTGGTCATGTCAGGGCTTGGTGTACACGATCACAGATGTGGAGGAAGTTCACGTCTGGATGGTGAAGCACTTCACAGAACATCCACTGTTCACGCGAGTCCCCGATGAGGAGCTGGTATGTTAATACAGAGCTGTCCATGCTAGAGTTTCACAGGTGTTGTCCCTCTGCCTCACCCACCCTGACACACTCAGCCTCGTGGCCACCCACTGCAGCAGTAACTGTTGAAGTGGTCACTGGGAAAATGGTGATTCTTTGTTCTTATCTCACTCAGATTAAAGGCGATTTTTAAGTTTTTCAATACCAGAATAAACTACACTTAACAAAATAAAACCACTAAACTCAGAGTTATAATTAATATTTTCTACTGGTTAAAAAATAAACGTTTGAATCTCTGGGCAGGTGGACGACATCATCCCCGGCCGTTTGGGTTCGTGTACAGAAGAAGGAAAGAAAGTGCAGCGAAACGGAGGACAGAACTTTCTCGCCATTTTCAGAAGGATTGATGATCCAAACCAGGACTGAAGGCCTGGAGGAGAGAGAGAGAGAACTTGAAAATCCTTGTCTCCCTGAATCTGGACCTTCATAAACAATGTCATCTGTAGAAGTGGAGACAGTTTTTTTTTTATGAAGATAAACATGAATTTTTTAATGATTTTTTTTTTTTTTTTTTTTTGCAATAAAGAACTGCAAATCTGAGGATGTTCCACGTGTTGTTTTGCAGGTGAAGGTCTTTGCCTTTCTTACTGAACAAAATAGTAACTGTTCAACATTCTGCCTTCGTCATCGTCTTATTCTCATGATTTACCGATAATTTGCAGTAGAAAACAGACTGCTGCAGGCCACGGTGATTAGGAACAGGACGCCACGTGTCCTGATGACAGACAGTGGAAGAGTCGCTGTGATAGCACAGAGTAACCATCCACCTCACATAATTCTTTTTTGAGTTTTATCCGAATAGGTCAGCTGTAAAGAGAAGAGACGGAGGGCGAAGGGCATCGTCTGTTATTCTTTGGTTTATTCATTTTTGGAAATGTTTGTGTCTTTAAACTTTAAAGCTCAGATTGAATCAGAATCATTTATTTTCACTACAAAAGTACTAACTCCATAAACTTTAAAGCTCTGATTGAATCAGACTCAGATTTCTCTTCACTACAAACGTACTAACTCCTTCTCGCTGCAGGCCTGAATAAACCATCAAATCCTTCCTCACTCGGGGATTCTCGGCTCTGGGCTAATGAGGAACCACGTCCAGCCTGATTCTTTCAAGCCCTTCAAAGAGAAACTCCACTTTCTATTTTTACGTTTCTATTTCTTGTCTTTTTTGGTGCTGCTTTCTGCTCCTGTTCTACGAGGACGACTTAATCGCTGAGCTTTACAGAGCAGCTCTTTGCTGTCCTGACTTTGACATTTATCTTTCTGAAATCATGCTGCCCCCGGTGACGTAAAAGAGCACTTCAGCTGCAGATAATGAGCTGCACGACTAAAATATCACAGTCTATAGAATATCTAGCTGTAATCTGTGTTCTCTAGTTATATTTAAGCTGTTGTCTTAGTTATGTTTTAGTCTGCGTACTGCTCTGCACCTCAGGCTAACGTGTAGCTAGCTAGTGCTACTGTTTTTTTGACAGTACTAAAAACATGTTTGTTATTAATTTTCTAAAGTTAAACAAATGTAGTAATCATTGAAGTGTGATTAAAAGAAAGAAAATACATTCTAAAAGTCGATGTTTCGGTACATAGTTTGTAGTTTTGTCTGGAGGTTTGCTGGTCCCTGGGCAGAAGCTAATGCCGTTTGCGCGGCCTTAGCATGGAAAGGATTGGGAACTCCTGTTTTCGACTGTTATTTGGCTCAGAGTCTCAGAGGGTGAATTAAGACACTGGATATCCAGGTGATATCAATTACCTTCTCCTTATCTCGGCTGAAGAATCTCTCCATTATTAGACTCATTCCACATCCTATGCCAACAACTAAATGAAGTCAGATTCAGCTTGACCTATGGCCACAGTCCACACACTGCTGACCACACTGACCACTTGGCACTGAGTCACATTATGGTCATCAGATGAAAGGAACAGTGAGTGTAAACAGTTAGAGGAATTTGTCCTTCAACAGCAAAGTTTAGTTTTAAGAAAATCGGAAGTTTCCTGAAAAATTGTGTTGGTGCTTGTTGTTTCAGCCAACAAACGAGGACGCTGAACCCAGATTTTCTAGCCTGACATACAGTAATACCAGTAGGAAACCACCAGGGGGTGGAATAAAAGTGTAAAACACATTACTACTTTATAAATTGTTTAATGCAAACCTATTTAAAACTGAGTTCAATTTGTTTCATTTCATTTTTATTTTTTTTGGTTTGGTTTCTGAGTTCCATTTGTTTCATTTCATTTTTTTTTTGGTTTGGTTTTGTAAAGACAATATATGGGTCACAGACCCATCTGGGCACTGTCAGTGCTGCCTCTGCCTGCAGGGGCCGCCAGGCTGCTGGACCAGTCCAGCTGGGCGTCGTTACTTAGAAAAAAAATGAGACTGCCCCACATTTGACAGCTTACAAGGCTGGGGTTGGATTTATAATCTTTCTAAAACGGTTCTCTACATTTACTCTGTATGTAAACGCTGCGTTAACATTTTTGACAAGTACTGTACGTCTGTGCTATCCTGCGGCGTTCTGCAGTGTAGACCGTGACGTCAGGTCATACCTTGTGGGTTGATTTCGAGTGTAGAGACTTGGACATGCCGTATGTTGAGGAACAGCTCGTCTGGTAATGGTGTCAGATTGGTTCTGCTTTTCATTTACTGCCTCTGATGGTTTGCATGCAGAATGGGAGGAGCCAGTTCTGCTCTAACGTGATCACAGGAGACATATTTAGGACACGTTTGAGTGCCAGATGTGAAGAAACATCTTAGCCCGATCCACGTGTCCATATCACCTACAGTGGATCCTCACACTGGGTCTGAGACCTGGTTTATAGGACGGCAGACAGGTGAACTCTGGGAATACAAAATGTTTATTTTAAGGTGTTGATGAACAGTATTTCCAAATGATCTTCTCTGTCCTTTATTTGCATTCTTTCTGACACTGCTCTGTGTGTGAAGCTGCTGCAGCTGCGGGCAGACAGGAGCTTTTAGGTTTCTGCCTTATGAATTATTGCACTATGATTTTAAGCAAATATAGAACTGCCCCCAGGAGGTGATAAATTCCAATCTGTAAGCAGTTTTAAACTGAAAAAAAAGGAAAAATACAATAAATAAATAAAACACAGCACAGATAACTGTTAATAATAATTTTGACCTACTTTTGACTCAGGACCCACTGTTTAAGAAACGCTCAGATGTTGCATGTGCGCAGTCAGAGCCTGACATGCAGATCACATCTGGACTCATCTTGTTTTGTTTTGTTTCCATCACCACATCCACAAATTGTCAAAAGCAGCTGTTGGCCATTTGGCCAAATAGCTGACGCTGCTACACAGTAACACCTACAGTAAAGGCATCATTTTCTCTTTTTTCATAAAGAATACATTGAAAGAATATATTCACATTAAAGTTATATTTTTTCCTTTTTTTATACTGTATATTAATAAACTTTAAAACCTTAAATTTTAAGATTCACTGCAGTAATCTTTCTGTTTGTAAATCAGCCAGCTCCCCCTTCTCTCCTGTAGGGGGTGCTGTTAAAGCAGGGGCCAAGAACAAACACAAAAATCATTATAATTACTATTATTATTATAATTTTAAAAAAATGTCTTGACAGTAAATCATTTTGTGATTACAGGTTTCATGTTTCCACTGATTTAAAACTGCTTCTCTTTTAAATTTGAGAAACCTGATCAAATAAAACATAACCAAGCTCAAGGCCTGAAGAAGATACAAATGAGTAAACAAGTTTAAGATGTTCAAAAAGAGACGTCTGAAAATGAAAAGGTTCAGACGACAAAAAGTGACAGTGAAGGAACGGAAAACACTTAACGTCAGCAGGAGACCAACACACTCTGGTTCAAATGCTTTTTTTTTTTTTTTTTTTGGTAACTACAGTTTCTGTGGAGAGAGAGGGAGAGGGCGAGAGAGGCAGACAGACAGACAGACTGTTGCCATGAACTTTAACACACTATGTTGGGGAGAAGGTCAGTCTCCCTCCTGGGCACCGGGCCAATACAGTAAAGGGACATTCCTCTGAGAGTATCACTGCTGTGCTGTAGAATGATCCACACATCAATTGTAGCCACGTCACACACACACACACACACACACATACACACACACACACACAAAGACACCATTCTTTGACAGGAGTTCTTATTAAGTTTTTTTTTCTTTAACATACAGTATGAGTATAATCAATGTTAGCGCCCCCTTTCCCTGTGACATAAAAATGCCCCAGTTTGTTAAAAGCTCTTGTTTTCATTCGTGTCAGAAACCGAGTGATGAGCCACTGTGCCACAGCACAATCATGTTCTGTTGTCATCGTAAAAAGGTATAAAAAAAGAAAAGATTATTTGATCAAGGCGTCTTTGTCAAATTTTCTGCTGAAAGAGAAGATTTTCAGTCTTTATGCAAAAATAGTTCTCTTCTGGAAAATTAATACATTTTGTAGTTTGGTAAATTCTGCTGACAAACTTTATTTTATGTTTACACAATTCATAGTACTTGTAGTTGTTACTTAATGCTGATCTTCCCAAGACAGTTATCTGTCAATCAAAAATTTTAAAAATACACATTCAACCATTACATGTTTGTCACTTTGACACATTTAAACAAGCATCTGGTTAAAATGCAGCCCCGAACCACTACAGAGCCTCTTACAGGCACCACTGTAGGTTTAACTTCGTCCATCTTTATCTCCTGAGACACTGACAGTGATTATAACCACTTTGAACTTGGACTCGCCCCACAATAAGACTTTTACCTATTGATTTCCAATCCAACCCTGCAGTTTTGCAACTTTTGTTTGTTTGTTTTTTTTGTCAGCACTCTTTAGACACAACAGCAAATAAGGAAACAACTTATTGCTAAAAAGACAAATATTTCATATCTTTTTTTATTACTCTTGGACATCTTCAATTGTCTTTACGTTAGCGTGGTTGAATAAAAAAATAAATAACATGGCTACATGCTACATTTACTGCTTTGAGCTCATTGATGCACGAGCAGCGTGAATCCAGAGAGGAAAGTAAATCTTCAGATCGTAGCATCTTCACTAAGTCTGGAGAAAAGTCTACGCGATTGTATGATTTTTTTTTTTATATAAGTGTATCAGAAATATTCAGCAGTCCAGCATCAACAAAAGAGTATCTTGTTTGACCGTATTGTGTAACGGCCGAGCTCACTTGTGACCTTAAAAGTTGTTTACGTTTTGTACATGTACATTTCAAGGGTCATTGTTTATCTTTCCCTGGTGAAGAGCATTTTCCACGGAGGAAGCCTCATGAACATGTCTCGTGTCAGACATTCTCTGGACTGATCTTTGCTCCGTGCTGCACTTTCATCCTCGTAGCCCAGCGCTGCAGACACACACATTCTTTTGTGGCTTCCAGAGCAGAAGTCTGGTCCACATGCTCAGGTCAAGTACTGTAAATAGTGAGGTCAGACATGTGGGGATGGTGCAGAGCTGAAAAAAGTCTCCCAATGTTACCGTTCCTTCCCTTAAGGCCTGTCTTCAATACAGCTGCAGCTGTTGTCAGAGTTGTGTGTGTGTCTTTTATGTTCATTAATGTTTGGGTCACGTTCCTCATGTGTATCCGGATATAATTTTGTAATGTCACAGCCTTCAGGCAGCTTTTTTTATTTACAAACATTCTTCTAGGAAAAGTAGGTGAATGACCTGAACTAAATGTGTTTTTTTTATTATTCATTCTCGGTGTAAAGACAAAATTCAAAAAAATAAAATGATGTGAATGACCTGAACTAAATGTGTTTTTTTATTATTCATTCTCAGTGTAAAGACAAAATTCGAAAATAAAATGATGTAATGTTTTCAATAACAATCTTGAATCGATGTGTGGGATTTTCTCTGGCTCAGTACAGACAGAGATGAGATTTGATGAGATACATTTTAATAACTGTTAA